ATGTTGTCCAAGGGAACTTCCCAGTCATCCGCTTCAATGTTAACTGCAAGGTCAGGTGTGGAGAGAGAGAGAGAGAGAGAGAGAGAGAGAGAGAGAGAGAGAGAGAGAGAGAGAGAGAGAGAGAGAGAGAGAGAGAGAGAGAGAGAGAGAGAGAGAGAGAGAGAGAGAGAGAGAGAGAGAGAGAGAGAGAGACAGTAGTAAGTTGACATTACGTACTCTCGGCCTCTAGCCAAGTTTCACACGAACCGTAAAATAGGTTTCACCCATTATGGTATTGGGCAGTGTGATCAACCATTGGAGATGCACCATTGTTCACGCAAAGAAGGCGTTACATGCTATGGCGGTGACCACAGTATATCTGATGCCAGTGGAATTTCTAGAAAGGTGCACAACTTCAAGATCGAAGCAACCTACAATTGTATTCATCTCCTTTGTTTTCCAGGAAGAAGTATCGCCGATCGGTCTGCTGCATGCGATCCAGGATCTGACGGATCTCCTCCGCCTCTCGTTTGCTGCAGCAACACAATAGGACAGAGGAGAAGAGAGCAGCAATAGATGAACACTTGACAATGTCAGTATAGATACATGCCCGACACGCCAACAGAACCTGTACACTTATGAAACGGTGATGTCATGCGATGACATCACGCAGCAGGGACCAAGACCAAGACCAAAATGCGTATCAAAGCTTCGAATTCCAGTTCTGCTTCCCATTGCATTCCACCCACTTTGAAGTAGGGAAAACCCCTAAAAATAATGATCCAGCAAGTATGAGTGTACAGCTCATATCCCGTTGGTCAGGCCATGACCGTTTTGGTGTTTCATGTTTATAGTGTATCCTGTTGTGCACTTAGCATAGCGTACCGTGCACTCTGTATTAAGGCTATGGCATGGCCGCACTAATAATTAGAAACAGCAGCAGACCGGCTTTTCTGCGATGATAATTATTATTATCACAACATTGTAGCGCAACAATTTCTGCTGCAATTCATGTGGGATGTGTGTGCTTGCCAGAGATCAGACGAGAGCATGCCCCCCCCCCCCTCCTCCTCCTCCTCCTGCCCCACATGGCAACATGCACTGGTGAAACCAGGCCTAAAGCTTCTGCAAAGGACTAACAAACAGTCAATGCGCATGCGAGGAAAATAGCAGACATGATGCTGCGTCTGATAGATAACTACTATTCGTTTCACTACGATAAGACGTCCCAACAACCGATCTCTCACAGCATGTGCACAGCAGACAGCAAACATGGACATCATCACTCGCTGACAGCATGAGCGCACACAACACACTAACCTGGTACATGCGGGTGTGTCGCAACTGGTGCGGCAGGTGAGACCAAAGCTGCACCAATAACTTTCAAATATTGTGATTGTTGAAGCACTAAAATATGGGCTATTTGGCCCAACTTTCCAAAACAAGTTCCCGGGGAGGGCCCCAGGTCCCCCACCTCTTCATGGCCTCACCAATGTCGAATACCTTCCAACGGCCCCGACATACCTTGCTTTCTTGGCGCGCCGCAGGGAGATTGAGTAGATGATCAGGAGTATGATGAACAGGAAAGCCAAGCCAGCGGTACCGATACCGATTGCCTCTGCCGTACCGATGCTGTTGGAGCTACCGGGACCAGAGTTTGGCGTCTCTTCCCCAGGCTTTGATTCTACAACGACAGTTTTCAACTCCGACCAGGGACCACATCCGCTTAGAGTGACGGTGCGCACCTAACAGATAGACAGAATGAGAAAGATTAGACCAGGCCCCCGACTTTACGCGGATAACACATTTTCTGAAATTTGAGCCGGTCTTCTATCAACGCCTCTCGGAGATAAGCGCCACGTCACCTCAGGCATTTTCATGGATGTTCTTTAAAATGGGTGAGTTTTTTTCTTTTTATGGCTCGCAAACATCTATGTACCTTGGCCAGTACTGGCGAAAGTACGGTGCGCGTTTGCACGGACATGCCACCGAGACGCGCCAAGCAAGTGTGCCTACACTCCAGCCGAACTGAACCTTGAGAACCCCCCCCCCCCCCCCGCTGGATTTCATTAGCGTCTGCCGTACAACTGTACGGAGACATCCTTGATTTAGGCTACGGCCTGTGGAGAATCCATTAATTCAAAACTTAATATAAATACAAGACAACACACTACAATACAAACCTGGACGAGGACATCTCGAACACGCTCTCCAGGCTGAGGTGCTAAGCAGTTGATGTTGAGCAGGTAAAGACGTGCTGTTCCGCCAATGCGCTGCAGCAGTGAAGTGCTGATATTCACAACAACGGCGACCGGAGATAGTTCGCCAGTTGCACGTCCCGCCAGAGATATGTTTAGACATTGGCTGCCGGATTGTGCGGCACAATGGTCCATCAGGCACTGGGGTGACGGACAGTGACACATCCATAGCATGCAAATACCAGCGTTCACATACCAGCGTGCACACACACACACACACACACACACACACCCATGCACGCACGCGCGCGCGCGCACGCACACACACACACACACACACACACACACACACGCACGCACACACACACACACACACACACACACACACACATACACACACACGCAACAGCATGCTGAAGTCCCTGCTACAGACAACAACCCAGGCATGGTTGTGTGGGGTGTTAAGTAAAAGATGCTTCCTAATCCCAGCATACAAACATGCATTACTCATAGCTTCCATATTCGGGAGAACACCATAGCCGCTGATTCCACCAAACTGCTCTAGATAAGCAATGACGAATCACGGCGTAAGGTTTAACTAACATTACCTGTACACCGACTGCGTCAATGGTGTCCTTCACGTCCGTACTGTCCTTGTCGAATTCCCTGGAGCGCTGCGTCATGATGACCTGGTATAGGATGATAGGGTTGCTCGACTCTCTCTGCTCACGCCACTGCAGCTCTATGGTGGTGGACGTGTTGCTCTGAACACAGAGAGAGAGCACACCACACAAGAACAGCAACAACAGAGACATGAACACGCCTCTTATGTCTATGCATGTAGTGCATCACCATGACACGTGCTCACAGAGTTATCATATTATGACTCTCGCACTGGTGGTATTCATATTGCGCATGCTCGCCATCTGGTTGTACTCATATTGTGCATGCTTGAAGAGAACATGGTCTTTTCCTTGTAGTTGCCTTGGAGTGCGTTTGTGAAACAAGGAGTGATTAGTCTGGTTTGCCCACGACATTTCAAAGCCTCTCTTCACCAGCGAGTTGGCAATGGTTACTTCGTGAGACGTGATATCCGAGCTATCCGTTTGTGATGCCGCCCTAGCTCCATGGAAAGTATAGCATGCTCACGTATATGCACCATGATATCTGAAGTAGGTAGCTATACCGTACCGCACGCGTGACCTTGAATCCGGGTAGCGTTTCCGACACGGCTGTACAGACGCACAACATCACACAGCACAGCACAGGAGAGTGATACCGAACATGCAATGTCATCAAGCTGGTCTTTAACACACACACAGACACATACACACACACAGACACATACACACACACATACACACACACACAGGGACACACACACACACGCGTGCGCACACGCATGCACACACACACAGTGATGGCTAATGCATTCAATCCTGTCCTAAGCAGCACAAGTGGACATGATGCCTGTATGGCCAACTGTTAACACCGCAGCGCTACATATACGTACAAATAGCAATACATCAACACGCCATCTTCACATCAACACGCCATCTTCCAACTTTTAGAAACATGTCTAACACGATTTCATACAATGAGTTTACACGTACGTTGTTCCGAAACGTTAGCGGCCACCGCCCAACTGTTTCGGCTGAGTTTGGTGTCATCAGCCGGATCACCGTGATATGCTTGTACCTGTGGGAGACAAGCAGCAGCACTCGGCAGATGAATAAGACAACCCGTGACCAACCATAGTCGCCAATGGTGATTGACAAGTGTCCAAATTTCATCACGTCAACTTCAAGATTAGTGGGGAAGGGAAAGGGAAGGAGTGGGTTGCTAGCTGCAGCATGGAATTAATGCCTCATGAGACACAGTACGGCAAACGCTCTATTCCCGGGACAATGACATACAGAACCTAGGTATAAAAATGTATACAAATGTAGCTGTAAGGCATGCGACAAATGCACTTCCGGGTGCCTATTACCATCCTCGATATCGGGACGGTCCCGGCCAAATCAGGATGGTCGGCAGGTACGGAATTACAAACAAGCCGTACCGAGAAAAGATAGGTGGAGAAGCGCGTCGAGACGTTCCTCCTGATCGAGAACGTCTGGTTGGTGGTGAGCACGCTCTCATCCTTGCGGAACAGGGTACGGGCGTTGAGAGAGGACACGTGAACATGCACACCCTCCGGACAGCACCTTCCCACCGATGTATTGTTACAGCCCTCCGGCGTTATCAGGTTGGGCACGTCACTCGCACTACTCAGACTTCCGCCATTCGAGAGGACGAATCGACCGCCATGATTCTCTTGTGAGAGTACCAATAGCTGGCCGATGGTGGTAGCCGTATCCAGGAAATTTCCCGAGGAGCAGCGGCACAGATCACCACAGGCTTCCACCGTCAGGTTGCTAGCCGGCGGGAAGACGTTGATCTGCGACCAGAACACACGGTACGTGAACGGCACACCGATCTCCTGGCACGCAATGTTCGGCGCGTTCCACGTCAGGCCAATCGTTTCCGCGTCCGCCGAATACACTCGCACATTCCCTGGAGCCGGCAGATCTACAACAGCGGAATGAAAACACAGTCACAAAGCAAGCTTCCTTTTAAAACACTGCAGCCAGTGATGTAGTGAGCATTGAGACACGCCGTGGTTACTGCAATCACACCCTGGTGAAAATGGTACTCAGTGCCTCCGCTAACACAGTCACTGCACTGCAATGCACTCTGGTGACCTGTAGCTTACTGCGCAGTGGACTGGGACGACCCAGCACGACGATGGAGGAATTGCCGCTGTTCAAGCCCGGCGAGTCGTCCGACGTGCGGTTGTAGAAGGCGTCGATTTCAAATGCGTACTCCGAACAGGTGCGCAGGCCGGTCACCGTGTAGCTGGTGGCGTCTGAATCGAGACGAATCACTGACCATCTGTGGGGAGCAAAACATCATCATCATCATCATTGACATTTTGAAGAGCTGAGATGCAAAGCCCGAAAATTTGAGAAAATCAGATCTTCAGCTCAGTATACTCAACAGGGCTAGAGGCACCACCAGGCAGAATTTCTAATCCGAAATCTGACCAGAACTGTTTCAAAATTGGAACCCAAAATATGGCAGATCCAAATCGCACCTAAACGAATCCTGTTACGGCCATTATCCGAAAAGTGAGGAAATTGGTTTTGCATTCAAGCTCTTCACTGTATTTCAATGATTCCCCAAAGGCTAATGGATGCTTATCAAAGAGAGTCTCATACAGCATACGAGTTGAGAGGGGAGGGGTTGGGGGGGGGGGGGAGGATTGTAATGAGAGATGGAGAAAGGGAGCTCATGGCAGAAAGGAGTTGGAAAACCAAAAAAGTCAGGAACACAAACATGCACAACACTGGGTTCCCTTCAGTCGGGATCTTTATAGAGGAAATTGTGAGAGACAGTCTGAGCACTCGTTCACATAATTTCAGGCATTTATGAATAAATTTCAGCCACTCTCAAGCCCAGGTGTGAGCTGATTGCCTCGATTGAGAGAGCATTCACAGTTTCAAGCTTGATTCCTGCTCTGAGCAAACGACCGCCGATCACGTGAGTAGGTTTTTGAATCTATTTGCCGATGTATTGACACAAACACAAGCAGTACAACAGCCTGGAGGGTCCTGAGACAGTCAGTACGTCTCCACATGTACAGCATAAAGAAACATGGTGTTCAACCGTAACAACAGTCCTGTGTTCTAGCGAAGCAATACTTGCATCAAGTTCACCGATTATTGCTTTGCCAACAGAGCCTAACCGAGAGTCCCTGCCTGCAACGCTAGCGTGTTAACCATGGCCCACAGCACTCACGCTTCCAATCTTGCAGCACAAGAGAAGTCTGTGTTGGTGGTGTTACCGCTGAGCTTAATGACGTCACGTAAATGTGGATCCACACTGGGAGCAGAGATACGGAGAGAGAAGGAGACACGGGAAGAGATGAGACGCCCAACCGACAAGTACAGCAATGGAAACACTTCAAAGTATGAAAAGCCGGGAAGAAAGCAGACAGAGTGGCATGCGGATGGACTGACGGATAGACGGACAGACATAATGAAAGGTTGAAGACCAGTGGGTAGAACGTATGACATACATAAACGGTGAGGCTCAGAGCTCTGTAAGTACACTATTTTAAAATCCATTACAACAAACACACTCACACACACACACACACACACACACACACACACACACACACACACAGAGACACACACAGAGACACGGACACAGACACGGACACAGACACGGACACAGACACGGACACAGACACGGACACAGACAGAAATACAGACGGACAGACAGCCACACACACACACACACACACACACACACACACACACACACATACACACACACATACACACACACATCCACACACACACACACACACACACACACACACACACACACACACACACACACACACGCGCGCACAGCCACACACACACACACACACACACACACAGCCACACGCACGCACGCACGTACACATGCACGCACACTCACACACACACACACACACACACACACACACACATTATGAGCTAGCACTATGTCAGCACCAAACAACAAGATCTCACCTGTTCTTAGTCTCCACATAATACAGATACTGGCTATATAGCACAGTCTGGTTTTCATGAGGTTCGGGTAGCAACCAGTTTATCGTGACGCTTGTCTCCGATGTGCTCATCACCTGAATTGGAAATCGTGTAACAGGACCTGTAGCACCACCGCAGCAACAACATTGAATATGTACAGTAACACAGTAATACACTGAGAATGACGCATACAGGGGCATCGAACACGGTACGGTCACTACGGCAACTGTTACTGTCCGTACCACTTTTTGCCCCTAGATACCCCGTGAATCAATAAAATGCACTGATCTGGGATCTAAATTTCCAAATTCCCACGAACCGTGAATTGTTTTAGGAAACAGTTTCCTCTTGCCAGGCCACCACCTTGCCCGATTATACCAAGATGAGAGCTGCAGGACCTAGCGTGGACAGTGAGATGGCAAGTCTCACAACCAGTGCCCTACAGGGGAGGAAACGAGTCGTTAGCTGCAGCAAAAAGACCTTGTTTTCGAGCCGCACGCCGAGTAGTGAGTATCCAGTTGACTGTGAGTGTCGGACTTGACGATGTGATATCAGAAACCCCACAGAGTTTACCAGTACTTATTGTGGACTTACAGAGTCGTTTGTCAGCGTTGGTTTCATTGTAGAGGACTTCAGTGAACTGAATGGTCTCGTTCAGTCGGTTGTGATAATCAATGATGGCATCGCCCAGGAAATTGGTAAACAGCTTGTCGATTTCAGACGGGCACAGATAGAAGTTGGACGTGATCCGGAAATTCTTCACGACCTGCAAAACCGACACACGACATGAAGAGAGTCGGCAAAACTAAAGTGAGCTGAGCTAGCATTAGACCCCGGCACTTCAGGAATAGAGACCCACTTCAGGAATAAGTTAGGTTCGTTATTTGACCAGACGAGGCCAAACAACGCTTGCAGACGACAGCATGTCTCCAAGCGTCATGTGGTCTCATTGGCTCAAATAAAGAACCTATAACTACTAGTACTATAAATGAATGGACCGAATGAAGATGGCATCAAGGAATTAGTATCACCTAATTGTTGCAACACACAACCATGCAAAGACCTCCATATTCGAGGCCCATCAGTATGCCCTGATACCCTGCCGGGTATGGCGGATACAAGCACCACAAGTCAGTCAGTGGAGAGCAAACAACTCCCAAATCCCATGGGTGTACAATGACTCTATTGCCCCGTACCCATACTCTCATCTGATTGAAGTTAGCAAGTATTTCTAGCTTCCCAGGGGTTTTAGAATTGCGATGAACAGAACGAGCCGAACAGTCATTTCACAACGGCTTTGTTGTGTTCAAAACGAGTGGATACGAAGGCGGTGAAGAACAGGGAAGGAGAAATAAATGTGATATGGGGTGCTAGGCATTATTCACACCCTATTTCACTTCCTACGAACACATCCCAGTAAGAGAACCTCCATGGGCGTTTTCACCAGGAAAAGATTATTTGACTGTGGCACACTCTTGAGACCCTTTTTTGCAGTAAACCACTCCTCAATAACAATAATAGGGAACTGTTTAGTAGTAGAGGCAGGGGCGTCGGATATGGTACGGTCGCTACGGAATAGACTGTACCACTATTTGCCCCAGGCACCCTGTGAATCAATAAAATACACGGATCTGGGCTCGAAATTTCCGAACCTTTTGGCTCAGCAACCCTCCCCACGAGTAAATTGAACTTCAGATGGCTGATTGTACCACCCTAACTTAGCTTGGCTTCCGACACCCCCGACACCCCTGAGAGGTCTCCAACCAAATCCTGCTCTGGCACACTAACTTTGGCCGTGCAAACACTGCAGGAGATATTCAACTCAAGATCTAATAGCTTACGTCTTTAGGTCGTTGTTGGTCCAGCAGGTTGTTGCCGACCTTGATCAGGTTGCGCAACCCAGACACATCCGTCAGTACCTCATTCCTGTTGATAAGTATTCCACTGTGATAGAGGGAAGACACGTACACACGTACACACACACACACACACACTCACACACACTCACACACACAAACAACACACACACACACACACACACACACACAAACACACACTCGCACACATACACACACACACATACACACACACAAACAACACACACACACAAGACACACAAATACACAAACGGAGCTGTAAAGACACCATTTCTCGAAATCCAATTTCCATTGACTGAAACATTTTCCAATAGAGAGATCATCACATCGTTCTCATTTAGAGTTATTATCCCACATTGAGGAATTTCTTAGTCAAAATATATCCACCTACTAGCTGTTGACATTGGTACTCCCTCCAGTGACTTCTTGCAGGTTATGCAGGAAGTTCAGGTTGTACAAACAGATGTTACCGGTCACCAACAGCAGACCTGACACTCGCCGCACACTGCCCAGGGCTCTCATCATGGCAGAGTTCAGTGTCGTTATGCCTTGCAAGTTGTTGAGACACCGCGGAATCAGACCTGGTGCAGTTAGGGAATGCACACAAATAGACGTATGCATGCGCACATACACATACACACCCACACATACACACATACACACACACACACACACACACACACACACACACACACACACACACACCACGAAGAAGCTCAGCCAGACATGAAGAAATCATTTTAAACAGCAGAGACTGGGCTGATCAAAACAGAAAGTCAAAGCCCTAGCATCAGAATCAGCATCAGTATCAGCATCAGAATCAGCAGCAGAATCAGCAGCAGCATAATCAGTAGCAAACCCTACCTGGATTGTTGATGTTCAACACCAAGTCACCAAGAACATCAGTACAGCCGACGAAACCGCATAGCTGAGTCAGTGACTTCACCACCACACCATTACACTCTGCGCAGACGACAAGAAGACGATGACACAGAGAGAAAATCAACGAGCATAACTCAGTACCCAAATCACTCCACTGGCGATTTCTGGCTTTCCGTGGACCAAAGCAGATCACTCCACTGCGGTTTCTGCATAGTGGATGGGAGCGAAAATTAAAGATATTCCAAACCATGAAAGGATTGCACTACAGTTGTAGACATTGAAATCTGTTGGGAAGTCAAGCGGCCACGGGGCACTAGCCTTGCAGCCATGAGCACAACCAGTCCATTTGTGGTAGGGTGGGTCTTTTTAAGCCCTAATTCGGCCAAAATCGGGCTTTAAAAATCCAGCAGGACTATATTGGATGAATATACTGTGTGCAAAGACACACTTACCTCGCCTGCATGGCATATCAAGGCTTCACAACAACAGGACAGGTATACCTTGGCAAAATGTATGGAGAAGCAGATCCAAAACCCGGATTTTGCAAGTTTGAAGTGGGTTTTCGAGCTTACCTCGCCTGCATGGTACCCCTGGTTGACGGTCGCTGATGGAGCATGATCGGCAACTCGCCGTCCTAACGTCGGCCTGGTAGAACGGCGGGCATGTAATCTCGCACGTGTACTGAATACTCGTCTTGTTATACACAGAATAGTACTGCTCCGGCGGTCCGCCAAGTAAGCCCATTACCAACGGGCACTTGCGCAAGCATAGAGTGTCCTGGAACTGTGTGCAATGTCAAGGCAGGCAGAGGTGCACAAAAATACAGTTCGCTGCCGTCGGATGGTGAAGAACGGGCATTAGTGGAGGGACGGGGGGGGGGGGGATCAGCAGGCCAGTCCAGCCAGGGGGGGAATTCCCGCAGTCCGGTGGAACATAAGGAGAAGGGGGACTTGCTTCTAGTCTACAAGTTCGAACTATCCTGGGGTACAGCTACTGTAATATACTTTAAGGAAAAAATTGGAGGCGTATCCAATTTCGAAAGAAAAAGGTGTCAGCACCGACGCAATCCACACAGTCAAGTAAGCCAATTTAGTAACCGAACGTTTTCGTTATTGCTGTATTTTGACATTTTTCCATTATTCCCTGGGAATGCCACCCAAGTAACCCATGATCCAAGAGGGTGGTGGCGTTCCCACGGCGGATCCAAGAGGGTGGTGGCGTTCCCACGGCGGATGCGCAAAACTGGACCTTCTGCCGAGTCTGACGCGAACCGTGAATTTTTGTTTTACCGATGATGAGAATGGAACGAAAACGTTCGGTTACAAAATTGGCTTACTTGACAATAGATTTTCTGCACACTTGAGCTATTGCCAGTCCAGGCTGCATGTAACCCTTATCCGGCCTGCCAGTCACAATCGAGATTGTGAGCTTCTCAGACTATGGGGGGTCAGGTACTTCCAAATAGGGGCAGGGGGAGGTGAGATATTCTCTACTGCCTCACGTCACCTCCATGCAGGCGATGGCGTCCCCGATGTACAGCACTATAACAATAAACACGTCAAGTACGTACATTCATGCCTCGTTTCAGGGCGGTCCGGGACCAGGCACTGCCCGTAACTTTGAAACGTCCATAACTCCGAATCACGTACACTTTTATGGGGAAACTTCCCCGAAAGGCCATCGATATGGCATCTGGCGTCACTAATAATTCCACAAAAGTGACAAAGAGTAGTAATATTTCTACCTGAGACTCGCCCAAAGGATGCCCGGTAGACCGAAGTGCCGGTAACTGCGGGATCCGCGTAACCGAGGTACTGTCAGACCAGTAATGTTAACGAACATTTAATTCTAACGATGTAACGAATTTAGACAATTAGCTAACATTTGAAGTCGTTATGTACAAAACGATATGTACATGTACAGTCATTGTGAAAAGAAGAAAGAAAAAATGTTACGAGTTATGACTAACTGAGCACTACCATCCCACTTACATGTACAGTCATTTGCCGTTTTTGAGACAGAATTCGTTAGAATTTCACCTCGCTAACCCACAAAAATCCGGGGATCGTTAACTTTAATTTGCGTTAAATATCTGGTCCTACAGTATGCGTGGACTTACCAGTGCTGTATCAAGTGGGCACATGTCAATGCACTGATCCAGGTTGGGACCGGTGTAGTAGCGACACACCACCGGCACTCGGGGGTCGTACGGCCCGCTCTGCGGCCTCGAGCCGACCTCGCTGAGCGACCGATCACCGAGTGTTATCTTCAGGCACAGATCCATACAGGCCAACAGCAAACCTGTAAATCAAACACCAAGTACAACACGCCGGCAGAACGGAATAGCACAATGGTCAGAGTTTGAGAAATGCGTATGGAGTGTACGCATGACATCAGAAGATCCGATTACGCTCGACCAAGACCCTATGCAGAGCTGGATCAGGCATTGTACACTCTGGGGGGGGGGGGGGGGGGGGGGTATGTACAGTCAACTTTGCTAATAACTGCGGATATAACGACAATTCCCGAATAACGACAGAATTTCCATGCCCAGAGCAAAGTCCCATCCAACAGTAATACAAATAATGAGACTTGGGGCATATTAAAGGACACTTCGCGAATAAGGACACTTTTTCTGATGCCCCGCCGAGTGTCGTTATAAGCGAAGTTGACTGTACTCTTGCCGGTTTATGAATCTTACTTCGAAGTACTAACAACACCATGGATTTCGATTTTCGAAGCCAGCACCGCACCAATTTCGGGAGAAGTGTGCGAGTTTGATCCAGAATATAGGACAAAGGGAGTGGTCTTCTGGTGAAGACCTGTAGTGAAGTTTGTTTTAAAGCCATGATTCCCTATATTGATGTCAATAATGAATGCACATGACATCATTTCCGCAGTGTATATTTGTGAGGACATTATAGGGGATTCACACTCACGGGGAAACCTGAGGTCACGGGACAATGTAAAAGTTCAGACCTTCGGTCAACGGAGTGGTCACACCCGTGGTCAGTTTTCCCTTGGCCGCATGTTTGGCCATGAATTTGTGGCGGGGCAATTAAAAAAGTAATCTGTACTATATTTTGCAATCACCATGCATGATTTTCCGATGGGCACTGTCTGAGAATGCAGGTTGCGATGCACCCGTACAATTTACGGGCTCAGAGTTCTCGCCAAAGACAAGATCTACACACGCGCGTCGTATAGCCATGGGGATTTTTCCCTTGACAAACGCCCTGAGGCCCACGGCCACGGCTTTGCCAATTTTTTTCCCGAGAGGTTCTTCCTTTTCCCCAGTACCATAGGTTATAGGGCTCAAACGGTCACGGTTTTACCCCTGGCGGTTAACTGCTAAGCTAACGGTCGGTTAACCGGTTATAACCTATAAGCCACGGCAATCCTGCGGACTCTTTTTTAACCGTATATTTGACTATACTCATTCAAAAATTGTACCCTATTCAGTACAACGCACATTTGTACATTCTCTTGCATGCTCATTCATACATACTCTCACACCAAGAGACCAGATATGACCGAGTTGACAGCCCAGAAATTGCGTACGCGTGTGACAGCCCGCGAAAGTGCACACTTTGCAACGACCTGATACTTGAAAAATTGACTGAAAAGTTACTGCGTAACCGTTATCTTTATCGGTTAACCGTTAATACTTCGTAACCGGTCTGCAACCGGTTAATCGGACTAATCGTTTGAGCCCTAATAGGTTCCATAACAACTTTCCCATAACCGTGGTTTAACCGTGTGTGTGAATCCCCTATTACTGCAGTGTATCCACATAGGTCATCACTGCACAAGTATCCTTGCATAAGATGCTACACACCGTATGGGCATAGATACTCCTGGTTGAATGTCCTGACGCAGCACTGCTCCGGAAGGGTGCTGTTCACGTCGTAGCGCTCGGTGCCGTTCGAGCTGCAGTCCACCGGCCGGCGGTTAGCCTGTGGTTGGCCGTAGGCTTGAACCTCGGCCGAGAGATAACCGACGCGACCATGCAGCAGAGCAATGCCGTCCGTGCCGTGCTCAAACACGTGACGATCAACGGCGACCGTGATGTTCTCTGTGTCGTCCAGTGGTACCTCGATGCTCTCAGCGAGGAGAAAGTGACCGAACACGAGCAGCGCCATGTCGTCGATCCGCTTGCCGCGCACCGCGATCAGATTGGGCAGAATCTCCCTGGCCGTCCAGCCGGGCCGGGCAAACAGGACCAGGCCGCCGGTGACGTGCAGCAGGGACGGCAGGCGAATGAACTGCCGGTAGATCTCGGGAATGCGACGCGCCTGTATGACCAGTGTGCCGTTGAGAATGTCGCAGTTCAGCGCGGCGAACAGACGGAAGTGAACTGTGCTGGTCAGCACGGTCGTCGAGCACACTGTCAAGAGACGGAAGAGGAAAACACAAACACAGCCAACAAAAGTATATTGTCAAGGAACGGGAGAAGAACACACACACACACACACACACACACACACACACACACACACACACACACACACACACACACACACACATACACACACACACACACACACACACACAGCATACTGTCGAGTGACGGGAGAGGAAAAACACACACACACGACCCAACAAAGCAGAGTGTGAAGATAGGGGAGGATAACACAAACACAGCCAACAAATACAGCGATTCAACTCTCCTTCTCTCAGCAAAGTACTCCAAAGCCTCCTGTTTGATAATCTGAAGTTTGTGGCCTTGCACGAGAGCAGCAAAGAAGCTGCAAACAAACTAATCCGTCCATGACAAATTGTGGTAGGTGTGATCCACGTACGCACCTACCACCATATTGTCAGCTCCACACAATATCCGGATATCACTATCACGTGACAGTGGCTATCATGTGACAGTGGCTATCACGTGACAGTGGCTATCATGTGACAGTGGCTATCACGTGACAGTGGCTATCATGTGACAGTGGCTATCACGTGACAGTGGCTATCACGTGACAGTGGCTATCATGTGACTGACTATCATGACTGTGATGGACCGTCATGTGACCGACTCACTACTCGTATCATGTGACATTAGATAAGTAGTTACATGTAAGTTTGTAAGTTCAGGGGTGTCGGACACGGTACGGTCACTACGGTATTGACCATACCACTTTTTGCCCCGGGTACCCCGTGAATCAATGAAATACGCTCATCTGGGATCTAAATTTCCCAAATTTTCGGCTTTCCCACCACTCCCCCACAAGTAAATTGTACAGTTCAGATGGCTGACCGTACCACACTAAAATACCTTCCGACGCCCCTAAAGTTAGTTAGTTACATGTGAGAAAGTAACAAGCTGACATCACGCTGACTTACCCGTCCAATTCCGCCGTGGCGGCCCAGTGTAGGGAGGAAACGTTGGGATGTGAGTGGTGGTGCGATTCTCCTCCTTGCTCACCGTGGTCTGAATCCCCGGGATGTCGGTTGGCAAGGTAGCGGGCAAACCTGATGGAGGCAGTGTTGGCACAGTTACCGGTACATCCGTCTTAGGGAGAGTGGCCAGAGGTGGTGCACTCTGATTGGCTGGAAGAGAGCCGCTAGCCGGTGCAGTGTGCGGAATTGTCTGTGCTGGAAACGTTGGCGTTGTCAGTGGTGACGTAAGTGGAACTGTCGGAGGCTGAAGTTTGGATGACGTGCTCGGTAGCGTTGGCAGCTGTACACTCGATGCGGTGTTTGGAAGTGTCGGCGTCGACAGCTGTGGAGTTGTGATCGGGAGCGTGAACGGATTGGTCTGTAGCTGAGCGCTGGAAGACGCGGTAGGTAGGGATGAAGTCGTGACACTCGGTGCAGTGCTGGATAGCGCTGGTGTGTGCAATGTCGAAGTTGTTATGGGTAGCGTGGATGGGTTTGTCGAAGGTAGTGTTGGAGACTGTGTGCTCAATGTTGATGCTGGCACCTTTGCAGTTGTTACTGCTATGGTGGATGGTGTAGTCAGCGGTTGTGCACTGGAGCCTGTGGCAGCAGGCTGTGTCGATGGTGCGGTACTTGATGCGGCTGCGGACAACTTGGCAATTGTCATTGGCGTGGATACTGGTTCAGTGGAGGTCAATGTCGTATTCGTGTCTGGCACTGTTGGTGGGTGAAGCGTTGCAGCTGATGCAGACAGTGTGAGTGTCTGCAAACTGGGACTCGTATCAGGCTGGGTGTTCGTCGGGAAGTTGGGGCTTGTAACCGGCTCTGTACTTGTCTTCAAGTTAGTGATTGCGGTCGGTAGAGTAGATGATTGACCAGTAGTTGTGCTGCTAACTGATGGCTGCGTCGTGTCTGGCGGCAGAGTCAGAGGATTACCTGGAGTTGTTGCTGAAACTGCCGGGGGCTGAACGCTTGGGGTCGTAGCAGGTGAAGTCGTAGATGATGACTGGGACGCATTCACTAGCGGGGTTGATGATTGCGTATCTGTACTCATCGCGGGGAGGCTTGAAATCTGAACGTCCGGAGTTGAGGCTGGCTTGGGGGTCGTTTGCGGTGTCGTCCCTTGTGAGCTGCCTGGTACCGTCGGGGGTATGGAGGTTCCTGGCGGCACGCTTGGTGTAGAAGGAGATGCAGCAGTTGCAGTTGCCGGCTGAACAGAACTACTCACAGCTACTGACATTGTAGACTGCTGGAGTGCTTGTGACATGGACAACACACTCGTTGCCGACACTTGGGCGGCAGCACTCGAAGGAACCACAGCTGTAGGCGCTACACGAATTACTGGACTAGACGAAGCCACCACTGTGGACTGTATTCCATCAGCTCTCGTCGCAGCTGAGCTTGTTGCCGGGAGCGCCACCGAAGGTACGCCACCGATGGATGTTTGAAGCAGCGATGCCGTTGTTTCGTACGACACTAAAGTATTTGTTCCGGCAGGCGCAGAGTTCTCCGATCCGATGCTACTGCTCATAGGAATAACCGGTACTGACGGCAATTCCAGTGTGCTGGCTACCGAGGATGAAAAGCCACCATTCATTCCCACCCCGGCGACGGAACTAGGTGAAGCGGATACTGTAGCTAGGGATTCTCTCGCCACGGCGACAAGCCATAGCAGTGCAAAGACTGCCAGTCGTGACCTCCCATTCAATGGGCCAGCCATTGTTGGCAGGAGTTTCGGATAAACTGCGCAATAGATTTGCGACCAATCCGCCTCCGCTACGGACAACCGGCCGCAAAGCTCGTTTTCCCTTCAGGAGTACGGTAACCAGTCAGTTTGTTTCGAGATTCACATCTTGCTCGTCCTACTGAGCAGCATCCATCACCGCTTCTCCCTAAACTCACTCGACAGGCTGAAGTCGTTCAATGCCAAACGACCGTAAACAAGCACAGCTGCGGAACTATTCAAGTCTGAAATCAGCTACACAAAAATTCTCTGGTTGTGCTGTGCATGTACCGCTTGTGCGTAAGCTGTGGAGTGTGGCTGTGGTCTGTCCACATGGACCACAGTCATAATCATTGACATTGTCCATGTGATCTGGTAATCATGCCTGGCCTGGTCATTGTGAAGATTTACAGCATTTTACATTATTTTGTAGGGAATTTCAAGCGAAACTCACTCACGATCATACAGTCACCATGGTCACACTCCAAAATCCTGGTCCGGGCCACACCACACTACACTCTCTCTACAGTGGTCCCTCTATTCATGATAATCCGGCAGCATTTGTGCCACGGAAAATCTGCTGGATTAGGGAGGGTGCTGGATTAACAAATCTGATTTACTGCTGCAATGTACATGAAGAGGACATTTTGGCTACTGATAATTGTGCTGGTTTATCGAGAGTGCTGGTTTATTTTTTTATAAAGTGCTGGATTAGAGAGGGACGACTGTACATGCATAGACCGAACACACGCAACGTGTGTCATCATTAGGCAGTCAACGGGATACATTTTGCATGTCTCAGATCTAGCCCGGGACCTACTTGTGTAGCCATTGGCAGATAACGTTACATGTAATGCAGACTCTGGTCGAAAAGCAGTGAATATGGCAGAACCATACAAACCTTATGGCAGACACTTCCTTGAATTGTGCTCCATTTCTTTATCCAAAATACCAAACATCAATGCATGAAACATACCAGAAAAAGCACCACATTCTGCCATTTTTGTCTACCGGCATTATCCCCAGCCGAGGGCTAGATGAACCCCAGTTCATACAAAGGTGCTGGGAGAAAGGGAGGGATGGAGAGAGATGAGAGCTGTGGAGAGCTGTGAATACATGTATGTTAGTGCAAAGCGGAAAAATAATGACAGGGAGCTAGCCACTCGTGATCGTATGAACCGAAAGGTTAATTATTAAGACATAATATTTTGCTTTTTAATACAATCATTAAGATGCCCGAACAAGATCAATCACACCAACATATTCACATATCACACACCAAGTTAGTTGAACACAGCTGTCAACTCTCAACCCCTCCTTTTCTCCCAGCACCTTCCAACAACACTCCATGATTAAGCTTCACACATACACACATATCTGGCGTATTTCTCACTCCCGCATAATCATGTTCTTCTCAGTTTTACTTCTCATCTGCACCTCACGGCCCGGCATATCAACTCTAATTTTCGGTCGCTCGTCTTTAGTTTACTGCTTCACCCTGAAGATTGACCATGCACAAATCTAGAAAGTCGGTTGCAGCAAAGAGTTAGTACCGTGTATGCGTGTTTGGGTTGAGTATTTGAAAAAAAAGAGTAATGTGCAAATTGTTGAAATGGAGTTTGCGGATCCTTAGAACCATTTTACGGCTGCTTTGTGCTGTACATGTACCGTGAAAAACCTTGGAAAGGCCCATCCGTTGACAAAACTAAGGAAAATTAAGTGTCCGCTTGACGAAATGTTATCGGCACGCACAGTCGTCACGACAACAACGGCACTTAACCTGTTTAGAGTACTCCTGTGCTAGAGCGTGGCAGTGTGGCTTGCCACACGTCAACAGAGAGAGAGAGAGACTGAGTATAGCCACCCTGATGGCAGCGCTCATTGGAGCCCGTGACGCCGCCAACCTGTGCAGTGCACTCCTGTGCTGGAGCGTAGCAGCATGGCGTGCCACAAGTCCATGTATTATCGTGCTATGTCGTACAGTATGCTGCACATGGGCTACACGGCATGTGGACTGGAATTAACTGTAACCATGTTCACACACGGAACTGCGCTTCGTTCAGCAATGGTACGCCAAGCAGTGCTAAGAATCCAACGGCGCGCTTGCCGCTCTCAGAATGGGACGTCATCGATGAATCTGCTGATCAAGTCCAGCGCTCTCTCCGGTTCGTCCATTGGTACCATATGCCCGCATCCGCGCACCACCGCCTGGTGGAGATTACGCACCGTCTTCACGTAGCCGGCGATCTCCGCATCCGCCGTCTTGCCCATGCGCCACACCTTGCGCTCCGCGGCGAAGAACTCGCGCTTGCCAGCCCAGTCCATCTGGCGGCACATGGCCTCGGTCAACTGGTTGCCCACGACGATGTCGAACTGCCCGTTGTAGAGCATGACCTTGTACTTGGCTGCATCGGCAGCCAGCACGGCACGCAATGCCGGCAACGACGTGTTGTAGACATCGGCCAGGAGATGACGCGCAACGGCCTGACTGCTGCTGTACGGTAAATTCCCGACGTGCAGCGCGCGCCGTACGCTGTCCTGTACGAGCGGCTTCAGGTAGTAGTTTTCTTTGTCCGGAACCGTGGTGTGCAGTATGTTGTAGTGGTTGGTGGACCCCGTGTTGTTCGTCAGCCATGTCGGGTAAGGGTACATCGTGCCCAGCAGGAACGAGTCACCCAATTCAAACGCCTCGCGGTAGTTCCCGGACATGATTGCCAGCTCGATTTTCTGCATGATGCCTGCCGCCTCCTCTGCCTGCGCGGCGTCGATGGCGGACATTTGCTGCAGGAGGTCGGGATAGACTGGCGTCATGGTGATGGGATCGATCCAGCCATCGCCGATCGCCATCCCGCGGAAGTTTATGTGCACGCCATCGCCCGCACGATTACCCTCTATGATACGCTGGCTAATGGACGGGCAGTACTTGCCGGCATAAGATTCCCCGGTCACGTAGAAATCGTTCTTCTGGTACTGCGTGAAGATGGAGAAGAACTGTGTCAGGCCGGCGTACAGGTCGCGTGCCACCTCCGCCTGATTGGTTGCGTAGCCAGCGTCGGACTGGGTGAAGCTGAAGCCAGTCCCGACCGGGTTGTCAATGAAGAGCAGCGAGTACTTGCTATTCCATGTTACCGGCATGTTCACAAACTCTCCCGCTTCGGTCGCCATGAGCGGTCCGATCTCTACGAACATTCCGAACAGGGACGACGCGCCCGGGCCACCCTGTAACCATAACAGCACCGGTGCATTCTCCGGGTCGGTCTGCGCCGGGAAAAACCAGAAAAACATATTGCTGGACAGCTTCTCGTTCACCGTCAGAAAGCCAGAAAAACTAGTGAGATTACTGATGCCAGTGACTCGACTCAGCTCCACTGCTTTCTCTACGGAGCCGTTCTTCAGGAACTGCGTCAGAAAGAGGGGCTCTCCTGCGTCTCCATCTCCGCACGCTCTCCAGTGATTTACCCCCAGCATCGGGTGGTACCGACCTTTGCCAGTATTGCTTTCCTCGGAACACGAGTTCAGATCTGCTCCCACAGCCCCAGCCACGGGCTGCTCAAAGGCTCTACATGTTGAAAAGCAGATGGCGAAAAGGACAATCGTGGTGTGGACATACATCGGGACGGACACGGTGATGAACAACACCAACAACCTATCTATCAACGATACAAGTTAGTTAGTTAGTTTATAGTTGAAATAGTTAGAAAATGTTGCTTCTCAGCTTGCAGCTGTTTTGGAAATTTCAAATTTTCTGAATATGCACCACGATGTCATGACGTCATGACTCAGTTGCATCTGATCTATGCACATGATTCATGCACATACGCATGAGCAATGAGCATGCTACAACTGTACTGCCTGTAGCTAGGCTAGTGACTAGTGAGTAGTGTAGCTGTATGCATAGACATTTAGAAAAGCGATCCTGTCAGCTTTTCTATTATTGTGTTCACATGGCAAGAAAAACGACACCGCTATGCTACGTAAGTTTCTACGTAAGGTGCTCGGTATTTCACTTAGGCTACGTAAGTCTCTACGTAAGGTGCTCGGTATTAGATCTACCAACGGGTGGTAGCCGCGTGCGGTGCACTTGCACGGCAGACATTGTGTTGCATGCAGTGCATTCCGTGTTCGAACGTTCGGATGTGCATGCGCGAGGAACTAACACTTCCATCTTTGGAACTGCTTCTTGTAAGAGCTGTTTCGGATATTTCGTCTCCTGGCCTGGCTTATTTCGTTTCGGCGCTGCTGAGACCTCCTTTCGTGGAATATTACTCAATGACAGGTGAGTTGACCAGTTCCCTTTGATTCATTTGCTTGTGTTGACTCTTTCATTTACGAAAAGTGTGCTGATTTTGGGCGGAATGCAATAAAATTAATAATGGAAAAGCGGACAGGATCTCTTTGTTTCCTTCGATTCATTTGCTTATGCTCACCCTTTCATTTACGGAAACGTGTGCTGATTTTATTCGGATTTAGATCCATTTTTATCTCTTTGCCCTTGTCTACAGTGTGCGAAGAACGCGAGTTCACCTTCTTGACGGTAAGGCTTATGTTAGATGTGTTGTCGAAATACTCATATTCATTGTACATTGGTACGTTACAAGTAAGGCACTGGTCAGTGGCATACTATCGTTGGCAGTTCCCAATCTGGAGGGAAAGGTTCAAGGACCCATTGACCGAGTTTGCAATATATATTCGCATATCAGGGAAAATCTCCATTGTGGAGAGGATCAGTAACTTGTTTGCTTCATACGAAACAAGCCAATGGGTGCAGTCTCGTTAAGATCTTGTACTTGTATGTCAGATTGGATTTGTTTACTCGAGTCTGGGCTGTTTGATTTATTAAATGTGAGTACCGCCGGGATTGCACTGCCCCAAATAAAGTTTCGTGCCGCCAAAGCAAGAATTACGATCTGCAATCTGTTTGTAGTACCTGTAGTACCTGCAAGAATGTGCTGTACATGTATCGTACTTTCTCTGTTGCTGTTTCAGTTGCCGTCATGTTTCTAAAGAAAGGTTCAGTAGAGGGTTCTGCAAAACGAAGTTTCGCGACAGTCCTTGCGAAAGTGTGTTCGAATTTTGCGTTCTGCACATTTTCGTAGTTTGCGCGGGCCAAGTGCACGTACACCATGACCCGATCTCACGAATTTTCCTACGACAGTTCATTTCGCGTTCCCTGCAAGTTTCGCGTCCAAAGTTGCGAAAGTTCGTGCGAAGTTTCGCACTTCATGACGTAGAACGAAAGTTTGTACGCATTTTCGTTTTGCAGAACCTCTCTAGTGACTCATTTGTTTCATATGAGACGAGTCAATGAGTTGGTGTGACTTAGAATCATCTTTTCCTGTAGAAGAAATCTATTCGTATGTCTCTTGGAGAAATAATTGTATTCACTGGTTATAAATAGGTTAATTAAGACAAACTCACATAATAAATACCATTGGTCCCTTGGGGTTCGTCCTAAAGAGGTTCGACTGGATATCATTCATACTCACCAAAAGATGTGTAAGATTTTATTATTATGGAGTGCCTTGTTTATCTCTCAGTACCTCCAACCATAGCCTTGCCCCTTTTATCCTCAGGATCAGTGTAGTTGTTGGAAGGAGGTGTCGGACTCAGCAATGTATTTGTTTACATTTTAATACATGTTTATTGTTCCTCTTTTGCTGTGTTGTTTTAGAAAATCGTGGACTAACAGTTTGAAGTCATTGAACTACTTCCAAAAGTTGTATTGACATATCAACATGATTACGATTTCAGTGCAATATGATGCAGGATGACCTTATCACGAAAACCCATGATTATAAACCATTATAAACACAGAATCAACAAAAACATCTGCGACACGCACCTGGTTAACGTTACATTTCTCAAATAAATCTGATCGAGGGTGGGGAGATCTGAAATATCTGAAAGGCAAGACAATTTTATGACAGAGTCATGACATTCTGCAACATGCACAGAATGACCTCCGTATAAAAAAGTATCACCACCACCAGACCACTACTCACATGTAATGTTTGCCCGCCGAAGAACGTGCAATTGCATTATGCTAGTGCTATTTTCTGCAAGAAAAGGCTTGCACATCAATGCGTATAACACGGTACTGATATGATGTGAAGGCCATCATTGAATGCCCTATATCAAGAGTACATAACCCACTCTTGCCTATTATCAATATGTATAAATTTTGCATATTGATATAGGGCATTCCATTGATTGGTGACAGAAAAAACAAAAGAAATTATAGCAATAAAAACTGCTTTATGGCAGTTTTCTAAAAAAAGTTATTGTGTTCTAGTCCATGGACCCCGTCTAAAAAGTAAGAAATTAACGAAATGTGATAGCTGAAAATTAAAATTTCACACAAAACCTCACAATAATCACACATAGAATGAAAAGCTACATGTACGACGCTCGTAGAAGACCTTTTCCCCTCGTGATCCTCTTTCCTTTGCATGCATGTTGCCAATTGTTGGTGCAGTACAAGTTTAGTGTTGAAAGCAGCATTTCAAGTGTTGTGATTATTGTGAGGTTTTGTGTGAAATTTTAATTTTCAGCTATCACATTTCGTTAATTTCTTACTTTTTAGACGGGGTCCATGGACTAGAACACAATAACTTTTTTTAGAAAACTGCCATAAAGCAGTTTTTATTGCTATAATAGACATAGTATCAAGAGTACGTCTACGTACTCTTGATAGTAGAGAGGTTTTGCATTCCGAATTTCGGAATAATTTTCGACTGTGCTTTTCCGAAAAAAGCGCGTTCCGAAAAACGGTATTTTCAGTGTTTTGCATTCCGAAAGCGAAGGACTAAAGCCTAGTCAGTCCATGCGCCAAGGGCCAAAAATGAGCCGAATCTTTATGCAAAATGAAGATGACGACGCCGCTTTTTTCGACTTTTTCTGGGACCAATTTTGAGCAGAATCACCATTTTGATCGTCGTCGATTTGGCATGGAAGACTTTCATGAATGCTATTGTAACTTGGCCTGCTGAGGGCTAGGATAGTCCCTAAACAAAATCTGGAAGCCGTTCCGCCAGAGATTGTTCCGTCATGTTGCAGCAGAGCCACTTTTCTCAATTTTGCGTCGTCCAGAATTTATGATTTTTGGATGCCAAAATACTTGATGGCGTGAGAACCAAAAAAGAACTACCGGACACCGCCCAGACCTCAGGTGTGTATAGTCCATTGTCCTAGGCTGCTCATAAAGCAAAAATTGTCTTGATAGTAACTTGCCCAAAAATTTGGCGAATTTTTCCTAATACCCCAGTTGCCAATACACGAGAATCACGAAAACTAGTATGGCTGATGGATTTCTGATTTTCTTCTCGTAAACTTGAGGACAATTATCTACGATGTTACAAATGTTAATGGGTGTTTTGAATGTGAACAGATACACTTCAAAAGGCTGATCGCGTTCTCAGATCAGCTGCAAGCGAGGGTCAAAATTGTAGTTCAGAGCGATGTCCATTGAGGCTCTTCACCCGATTTCACAGTTCATACATGGTAGTCATGGGAAGTTGGGTAGAATTAAATAAGTATGTATGCACTCTTAATTACTCCATAGACAAAGACATGTTCTGGAGTCTCATGGTGTTCGGCAGGCGCAATTATTACCTTCATCGTTTCTCGGTGAATTAACTCACTCCACCATTCCACACTGCACTCTTAGCCGACCCACGCCGCGTGCACATCACCAACACAACGGGGACATTCCTGTTGAGATATTCCTGCCCCGTAAGCCGAGAAAAAAGAACAGCACTGCAGTGAACAGACCCTGACAAGAGGACCATATTGTAATGGCCCATGCGCTTATACACACGCTTTTGCCGTATTTGTAACTTTTGCAGGTCGATTGGTCTCACATAGAGGCGCATGTGCTTGTAGTTGTGTTACCGGTATGGAATGTGGAAGCTGCGCATTAAACCCTGTAAAGATGGCATATGGTGGACCCGGTACCCTGTGGTATCAGCGTGTCGTGGCCCGTGGGATTGGGTTCACCTACAAAGTACAGTAGGCATCGGTTATAGCGTGGGTGTTTGAAAAACGACTTTCTATTCTTATTTCCGATATTTCTTACACACGATAAATCAAGTGTGACATATCACATGCATGTACACGGAGTCAGGAAGATCATCGTACATACAATGTAGTGTTACAGTGCATGCGGCTGGGCATAGTCATATAGGCTTACCATGTGGCTATGCAACATGAGTTACATGACCACAACAGTTGAACCTGCAGCACTGCGACCCAACGCGAGTCAGGTCGGAACTGCATTGGACGGATGTTATTACTACAGGCGATATACTTTGTACTAATCTGGTATGTTTTGCTACACAAAGTCCATTCTTAGGACCGATATATTCTACTGTACTATAAAATTGCTTGTAAGAATAAATGTGCACTTGAAATTAGTGCTGAAACGATTATATCGATTACTCGTTACTTACTCGATAAGAAATATATCGATCGGTTATTTCGATTTTATCGGCTAAACGAGTAGAATGGTACATACGCTCGGTATGGGATTTCCCCCCTTTTTGGGGGTCGCACAAAGCGTGCATGCATCGAAAGTATTGCGAGTACAACACAAATATGTACATACAGTAACATGTACTGATGTAGTTACAATAATAAATTAATAATCGTTTAGCCGATAAGCCGATCGTTATGGTATCAGCTAAGCCACTAAGGAAAAAACGTAATCGTTTCAGCACTA